GCGTGTTTCCGGGGAAAGTTTCTTTAGAGAACAAAGAGAGACTGAATTCTCCAACTGCCGACAGACAAGATTGGCTCGGATAATACGCTGAGACAACCCTTGCCGGATTAGTATGAGGACTTGAGTTGAGTGGTTTCTGTCGGTGTGATTAAAATTTTCTTTTCGATTTAGTTCTTCCAGAGACGTGAAACATAGAACCCTAATAGTTAATTTTATATTTTCACATACTATATTACTCGTAATATGGGTGTGCCAACGGGCCAACAAATAACTTAAGTAAATAGGTAATTCTTTGGCGGGGATCTGTCAGACAGGGAATCCTAGTACAAGTTTTGCTTTCTCACGATGGCTACAATTAATAAATAACATGTTAGATTGTTAAAATAGTAAAATTATTAAATCACCCGCAATAAAGTGATTACAATTTATTGCTAGCGACTGCATTACTAACAATAATTTATGTGGTGTTTTATTAATTTATATATTTTTTATAGAATTACATTTTATTCACCATAAACTGTGAAGAAGCAGTAACTTAAATTAAACCTACATAAATACATTGATTTACACGCTTACCAATTGACAAAACAAATCAAGATTTATTATTATAATATGTGCTAAGGATTTTGCCGAATTACCGAGAAGATATAAAACAAGTCTAGTCTCAGTATTATTAAGGCCGGAAGTGGAATTCGATTCTCGAATAACGAACACCATTTGTTCCCCACGTGTGCGGCCGCGGCCTGTATTACTTCGCGCACCGAAATCCCACCCAACATTAACAATTCTGTTCGCTATTTATACGTCTTAATAGAACCGTTGAAAGAACCATCGCAATAGACTCCAGGAATTTTACCAAGCAACACGCATGATATCACTTCTATAAATTACAACTTTACCCTTTCGTTAATTTATGAAAAACTTTAGTACTAACATGTAATCTCTACGAGGGTCTTTTAAACGAGTGGGCATTGTCGAGGAGTGGAGCGCGTGGGCGAATCACCGCAATCAAGAGGAAGTGGTCAATGACCAGACTCGTTGAACCATCCAGCATTACTGCCGATATACCTATGTGCCTGCCCTATTTTCTTATTTGATTTTAATGATATAATGGTTGCAGCGAAATTGTTAAGTGTCCAGTAAGGAGAGACAAAAGATATATTCGAGAGTAAGTATTAAGAGACCCTGGGACTCATCCCATTCAGATTGAATAGAAAAAGATAACGATAATGTGCATAACTGACCACACAGGCACATTGCATGTTATTGAATATTAACAACTGCAGATAGAGGTGGGCGGAATAGATGACTGCACATGCCTTTGGAAGCCCACAGGTTCTAGAGATAATTGTGAGATCAGCCATTCAGTGACTGGCCTTTGTGGAAGTTTGACCTACAAATAATAATAGGATAATACATGTGTTCAGATTAAAAAAATGAAAACAATAGAATAAATGTATATAGTTCCCATTACGGCGTAATTAAATCAGGAGTGCCACAGGGAAGTGTCCTGAGACCTTTACTCTTCCTTGTTATCATAAATGACCTCCCAGATATAACGGAACAGAAAAGTATACTATTTGCTGATGACACAAACAATTATTGTAAAATGTCGTGATATTAATGTAATACGCGAAGTCACGAAAATACAAATAATGTCCTCTCAAATAATGGAATGGTTAAATATTAATAATTTAAAAGTTAATTTAGATAAGACTAAATATATATTATTTAAAACCCGTAATATTATTTATAATATAGACATTAATTATAATTCTACAAAAATCAATGAAACAGAGCTGAAAAAAATTTAGGTATTACAATTGACAATCAGTGTAACTGAAAAGGACATAAGGACATAATGCTAAAACTTGAAAGATTAGCACTTTATTCCAAAAATGCATTTTTTATGGCTGTATGTATTTATAATAAGCTACCAACACTCCTCACTGACAAAACTTTGACGAAATTCCAAAAACACCTGCATAAAATTCTTCTTCTTCTCCTTAACTTTAATGGCAAATTGTGTCACCACAATACTGCCAACTTCACATAGGAGACCATTACATGATTTAAATACATTCATTCAATATTTAATCAAATAATGTTAAGGACTTCTTGAATGATAAAATTGATAACTTTGAGTGACATTTATTTTGACATTTGTATGAGATTAGTAGTAAAATATTTAACAAATATCTGACTGATTCTCATAAATTACAGTTTGACATATGAAATAATTATACTTATCTTGACATTGTAATGAAAATTTGTATAAGATTAATAAATTATTGATATGAAAAATTAAATTGGCTGGTATTATGTTTTGACATTAAGATATAATTTATTTCAAAAATATAAAGATAATTTATAAAATAATTAATAAATTATAGGTATGATAAATATTATTAGGTAAATAAATAATAAATGAATTCTCTTGTTTCATAGTGTAAACGCTGTAATCAGTAGAATATGTAAAACTAATGTACCTAATTAATATCATTTGTACCATATTCTGGCAAATAAAATATTATTATTATGTTATAAAGACTAAACTGCATAAAAAGTTAACGACGTGAGTATGGCATATTTAATCTTATAGTAACAGGAGCTATGTCTTCCACCCCGACTGCTGCCCTTGAGGCTCTGCTAAACCTACCGCCCCTACATCTACATATTGAAATGGTGGCGAGGGCTAGTATGTACAGGATTACCAGCATGGAGGCGAAGACATGGCTGTCAGGTAATTTGAGGTACCTGAAGGACTCAATATGCAACATACCAATTCTGGGGATGCCTACTGACACCATGCCCCCGAGAGTCGATTCACACAAGTCATATCTTGTGGAGATACCCACCAGGGACGACTGGTCAAACAATCGTATAGTATGGAAAAATGGAAGCCTAAAGTGGTACACTGACGGCTCCAAATCCGGTCCTGAGGTAGGATGTGGAATTTATGGAGAATCCCCAAGGAAGGCTATAAGTCTGAACATGGGAAAGTACTCCTCAATATTCCAGGCGGAGGTGTACGCCATTTTGGAATGTGCGGCAGCCAATCTGCAAAACAACTACCTCAATCATACTATCTACATCCACTCTGATAGTCAAGCTGCACTCTTATCACTAGCCTCCGACGTAACTAGATCGAAGCTGGTCGAGAACTGCAAACAAACATTGAACTCTTTGGGCAACAAAAACAAAGTAGTTCTACGATGGGTTCCAGGTCACGCTGGACATGAGGGCAATGAACAGGCGGACAAACTGGCGAAGAAGGGTGCTAAAGACGCCCTTATCGGACCAGAACCTTTCTGTGGCATCCCTCAAAGCCTAACCCAGCTCACCTTGAAAACATACTGCCATTACCCTGCTATTCAACTATGGAGAAACACTCCCGGTATGAAACACTCTAAGACCCTGATTAAAACCTTCAACAAAAAGGCGGCATCAGAGGCCTTAAACTTAACCAAAAATCACATTCGCACACTAGTACGAGCACTCACGGGACATTGTGGACTGAACAGACACATGTACAATATGGGGATCAGCGGCAGTAGAATGCGCAGAGGATGCAAGGAGGAGGAGGAAACACCTTTGCACTTATTGACCGATTGCCCGTCACTAATGCGAAAACGATGTATCTATCTGGGAAAGCACGTGATGCACCCAGACGATATTAAAGAACTTACGGCCAAGAAAATACTACAGTTCCTTGTAGAATGTAATCTTGACCGTGAACTGTAGTATGTGGAGATCACAATAGATCAGCAATGGTCGCAGTGATACTGGGCTGCATAAACCCAAGATAATCCGCAACTCGAAACAATAACAATGGCATATTTAAACTCATTTAAAAAATAAAAGGTTTCATTTGTTTATGTCATAAATATAAATTAGTAAACACTTCAAGTTCTAATATATTAATTTGGCTTTATGGAAAAAAAATATTGGACAATTCAAAAGCATTTTTAAGAAGTCTATTTGAATAAAGATTATTTTGACTTTGACTATGAACAATACATGTGTGCATATTTTTTGTTCAGAAACAGCTGCTCAAATCTTGCTGGAATGCAACTGAGTAGCCACCTACTGGGTTAGATACTTCAGCTCACTGGATAACTTCCAGAAGGCTATCGAGGATGTGAACAAGGGACTGGGAGAGTTTTTGGTGGACCTAGGTTGGTTGTAATAACTTCCCACCACACACAGTCCACAGATCAATGCAAGACAGGCACAATTTAGACATTAAGATGTAGGGCATCTCTACAACTTAATGTCTAAATTGTGCAGGACATAGTAAAAGTTATCATAGAGAAATTTATTATATTACAGTAGCCTAGAAACAAATATCATTCAACCAAGATAAAAATAAGCTGCTACTTGCTGTAACTATCAATATTTGGTTGTCAGGCTGGGCAAGTTGACAAGAGAATTTGTCTCCAAATGCCCAGTTACTGAACAACATTTTATTAACTTATGATGACTTAGAACAAAGATCATTTTGAATATGATATAGTTTTATTGAAAGAAGATCCCCTTTGATAAAATCATCTATAGTTTAATATAAAGGTGAATTTATAAATTTTTATGGAGTTATTTGTTAAAATGACTTTCCATTTTAAGCCAAAGAGTCCATACAACCTGTGTAATCCTATCTTTTGCTTTTATCTATAAACCTTTAACTACCTTCAAACTTATTCCAAATAACTAAACACTTTGAATTTTTCACAGCACCATGAGTTTCAATATCAAAAACTAAAGGTAAATTAATTCACCACATTTGTATTTGATGAAACTACCATCCATTTCCAAACAGCATTATAGAAGCATGGTTAATGTTTATAAGCTGATTTCTTATTTTTATCAGTTCTCAGTACTTATGTTTCGATTAACTAGGTACTAAAGGCTATTCAAATGCTCTATATACACAATGTATGTGTAATTATTATAGAATGAAGCTTTACAGCAATTGGAAAAAAAATAGGTTTCCAGATACTAACTGCTGAAGGCGGCTAATTTTCTTGTGGAGCCAAGACGTTTCATGGGTGTGCGTGGCTCCACATCGCGGTCTTGCAGCGCCGGCGCCTCCGTCGCTGGCGTCGTTGCCCCAGACATATCGCCGCCGCTCACCGCCCGCCTAACAACACTACACTGCACTCGAGTAAACTAATCAACATCGAACTTTCAAAAATAGCTTACAGTTAATAAGTCACAAACGAAACCTTCACGAATTTCTTCAACTTCGCCTACAATATAGGTGTGTAAAACTTTGGATCAGCAAGTGAAAAGCCTCAAATATTAATAAGATCGCCAAGTTAGTCAGGTAACGAACACTACGAGCAAATCAAGAAACGCGCGCGCGCCCCCCATGAAGCCATCACTTTTTGTTTGGTTTCACAGACTACAAACTATGAACATATGATTGTTGCGTGGTTGTTGTTGACATAGGCACAGAACAAAACTTAAACTTTTTGAATAATCATGATTCTAAGGCGCTCGCCAGACATATCGACAAGTTTAAGCGAACACACAAAATATTAGTTTGCCAGACTTGTTTAAATAAAAATAACACAAAACGGACGATAAAAAAGGTTGATATTTTTTTATTCGAAGCCATGAGTTCTTTTTATCAAATAATCCTCATAAACGATTATTAGGATTATTCGATTACCATATTGACAGTTCTGTTTGAAGAAGCAAACCAGTAATACCACTAAAAATACAAAACACGCAACTGCCCCACTTGGCGTCTTTGATGGTGTATATTTGCACATTTGTGCACATGTCTGGTACGGGCTTCATGGTTAGCCCAGCCCGTCCAATCCTTAAGTGGGTGATAGCCAAAGATTACAATATTATACTGTGATAGCTGTGCGAGTAAGTACATGAAGTTGTGACTAGAGGTCCTTTTTTCGCTTGGTGTGTGTTAAAATAGCCGCGCAAGTTCGAAACAGTTTGAAATGTTATGCCTTATCTACACTACTCGCGATATTGACCGATGTTAAATGAATTCTATAGTGTAGAGAAATACTTCGGCTTACTTCGTCAAATATTACCTCAAACATAGATTTCGTCTTTTTTTAACTAGTTTTTTAACATGTAGTAAGATATAATTCCTGAATAATACAAAGCTTCTTTCATCGACGAAATTACATACAAAACAGTGTGAGCCATCTTCTCGTGTCATCGCACCGAGTTGAGTCGAGTAAGTTGGCGATCTAAAAAATCGCGTACATAAGGGTCGTACGTATATTACCAACTTAAGGTCCAGCCAGCCAGACGAATGAACAAACGGCCAAAGCAGATTCGGCGTTAGTGTAGCCCCTTGTAGCAGATTTGACACTTAAATTTTAATATTGTTACAGAGCGCAGCAGCGAATCGCGCTAACGCTGTTGAAACTACCTGTGTCATATAGGTAAACATCAGGTCGGCGGGAAAGATACAGTCACTCGGGAAGAAAAGGACGATAGCTAATTTAAGACTTCTGGATAATGCCTCAAATACACCAAGACTATTTTAAGTCTTAACCTAGAACATTCTAGATTTGGAATCGGTCCCTATTAATTCGCGCTGGAATACTCGTCTCGGCATTCTTCAGTGAACAAGCGATCGGAAACAAAACTCGGAGGAAGTGTTATTAGTGAGGTGAAATAGTGAAGTTGAAGTGTAAATTTTGTAGTTGGATTTTTTTTTTGTGATTTTATCGTGTTTAATAAAGTCGGATCGTGAACTGCAATTGACGTAAATTTTTATCCCGAACCTTAAGTCGTAACAATATAAAAATTAATCGCTCTTCATTGGTCTCGTTAGTACTCGAAAACTGCTGGTCCAATTTAGCTCATTATAGTTTTGGAACGTTTATCGTAGACTAGGGACGGTTTAAGCGGTGAGAAGTGATACGAAGTACACTGAGTCATTGGGAATTCTGGAGACACAATTTTATTTAAAAATTAGATTATTAAATTAAAGCCATGTAACTCATATTTCATTTGATATTAAACTTATATTATAGACATCCTTTATATTCGGTTCTTCTTTTTATTAACATCCTTTATACAAGGTTCGGGGGAGATCGTTCGGAAAGAACAACAACGGAGCGATCGGTTTAATATTTTACTGCGTTCAGGAGTACAATCTTATCGTCGAGTCGGCGCAGGCGGCGAACAGCCAGGGCTGCGTCGGGTGGAACTGCAGGTCCAGGGTCACCAGCGAGTCGCGCGGCTCCCCGCCCGGCAGCTGCTTCAGGGGCACCAGCAGCGGGTTCTGCAGGAGGTCACTGCCGGGGAACGAACGGCGCGTCACTACCGGCGTCGCACAGGATCGAGCGGGACGGACGGTGGGGGGGGTGGTGATACTCACTTGTAGACCATGCCGTGGGAGACGACGATGTACCTGTCGTCGCCGCCGGTGGCGAAGAGCGGGTACCGCGGGTGGAAGGCGGCCGCGCGCACCGCCCGCCCGTGCACGCGCAGCGTCTGGTACGGCCGCGCCGACAGCTCCAGGTCGAACCTGCGCACGCGCATGGCACTGTATATTAGCATCGCGGTCGAGAGTACGAGGACGACGAGCGACGGGGCAACGCTCACCACATGCACTTGGAGTCGTACGAGGCGACCAGCAGATGGTCGCCGCCGGGATGGGCGGCCAGCGCGCTGTTCCACTGCGCGCCCGGCTGCAGCTTGCGCACCAGCTCCTGCCGCGCCAGGTCGTAGATGCGCACCGCGCGCTGCGTCTGCGTATGTACACATCGGGCGATGAGTGTGCGTCGTTTAGCGAGGTCCGATTCGAGTATGAAGTGTAACAAATATCATGTCGTGTACCGCGACGAAGAGCCAGGGCTTGGTGGGGTGGAAGAGCGCGCACTGCACCAGGCCCTTGCTGCGGCGGAAGGGCAGCTGGCTGCGGCGGCGCGACAGCTGGTGCACCACCACGCTGCGGGAGGCGGCGTCGCGCAGCGTCACGCACACGTAGTCGCCGCGCGAGTGCCACGCCACCTGCCGGCGCACCGCACGATTATAACGATATCGAACGAACCCGAGATCTGATAACTTATCGACACGACGAGTTATCCGGTCTCAGTTATACGGTCGCCGGTACTCACGTGCACGATATCCTTGAAGTGCGCGAGGGCGAGACGCAGGCCGCGCGCGCGTCGCTCCGCCCCCACGCGCTCCCACTGCACGCACGACCGCGTGCGCTCGTCCACTGCGAGGGAAAAAGAGCGGACGTTTTGAAACTGAACTGCGATCGAATTAAGATTCCGTCGCCACAGAGAGGGGCCGACTACTGACTGGCGACGTCGTGCGGCGGCGGCGGCTCGTCGAGCAGGCGGTCGGTGGTCTCGGCGGCGCGGCGGCTGCCCACGCGGTCGCCGGGCGCCAGCAGCAGCAGCCGCGCGCCCGCCGCCGCCGCCAGCAGCGCCAGCCCCGCCGCCGGGCTCCAGCACACGCGCGCCACCGCCTCACCCGCCTCCACCGTGTGCAGGCAGCGGCCCGTCGACACCTCCCACACTGCGCAAACGAGACACACATCAGTCGGTCGGTCGGGGGAGAACTGCGGCTCTCGCGCGGGGCGGCGGCGCTCCCGACCTTTGACGGTGCGGTCGTCGGAGCCGGTGGCCAGGTACTGGCCGGAGGGGTGCACGTGCAGGCAGCGCACGGCGGCGGCGTGGCCGCGGAACTGCAGCGCCTCGCGCGTGGGGAACGGCTGCAGGTCGCGCGGAGACGGCAGCTTCGGCACGAGCTCCTCGGGCCGGATCGTCAGCTGCGAAGTTTTATCGAAGATGTGAATTTCGAGTTCGACTTCGAGGTGAACAAAATTTATTGATTCCTCAGGAATATTTGATAGAAATTTTATCGATCACCCTTAGCTTGTGAAGTCTCAGCTCGGCCCGTGCCTCGGACCGAATATTTTAATTCTTTCTCTTTTTGTAAACGGATCATTAAAATAATAAGTACACAGACTCCCAAAGACGACATCCCGAACTAAACAGCGCGTTGCTAATTATTATAATATTTCAATCGAAATATTTGACTGACTCGGGGCCCCATTTTAACACCGGCGACCTCACCCGACTAAATAGCTGACATCAAAAATGTCGTTTGAACACATTTTTTTTTTATATTTCATGATATTGTCCGGACATAGGTCTACGTATATTCGTAAACAAAAGGATGACACTCAGCTCGGGTACAGAGGTGTTCTCAGTAATGCAATTAGAATAGGGATAATAACTAATTTTTATTTGTTTGTCCATCAGATAGTGTTAAAAAATATTAAACACGAACTTTTTTATTTTTTTCTTAATCATAAAATTACGGCGTTACATGGATTTGAAATTTCGCATGACGTCACGTTATGGTACGTTTTCTACTCAACTATGACGTAGCGAACCCCCATTCCGCAACTTTAATGCCCGTTATCTGAGCTATTTCTTGTTAAATTGAAGTAAAAAAAATACGTATCTAATATTTTTCTATTATCTGACTGACGGACAACATAGAATTGCATTTTTTTACCCAGTCGTCATCCCTATTATTAAAATTCGTAGACCCACCTATATTATTAATATTCACAATTAACTCTGCCTATATTCTAGGTTTCTTATAAAATAAAAAAATTATGTAAATTTTGACGATCTGATTGAGCAACCTCCACTCAGCAGAGCTTCAAATTTTTCAGAATTTCAAAAATTATTTTGATTTTTAGTACAATAAAGTAACTCCGTACTATCGGTCGCAAATAACATTTCTATTGCATCTTTTTTGTTTTCTTTTTTGGCATTATCTTATCAATACTAACTGGCATCTGACATCATTTATCGAACGCTCGAGATACACGTACATACAAACTGAGGTCCGGAGCGTTTTAGCATCAAATTTTAAGGTAAAATTGCAATATTAAATTTTCAAAATAGATCTAGATACATGCTAAATTTTACTTCAGAGATTTTCGGACGTACAGACCGGGACACGTTTAAAAAAGTCGACTCCCCGTCAGTCTCGAAATGTCGTTTTATTTTCCCGGTAAAAGTGCACAGCGCGCACAGTACCGTACCCGCATGGCGATGGCGCGCGGCGCCAGGTACAGGTCGAGGCAGCGCAGGAACCGCTCGCGCGTGTACCGCGCGTGGGCCGCCACCGCGCGCAGGCTGTCGTGCCGCGTCGGCAGGAAGCTGTACTTGCGCAGCCACGGCGTCGCCGACAGCTTCTCCCACTCCTTCATCTGTACACGCACATTGCCACTGAGTCGCCGCATACATCGCTACGTACACAACAATGTACTAGGGACACTCTACCTCTCGCTTGTCGAGCAGGTACTCGGGCGGGGGGTTGTAGCTCTCCGCGTGCGAGGGGAGCGGGCGGCGGGGGGCGGGGATGTGCCGGTGGATGCCGCGCGGCGGCTCGCTCTCCGAGCCCCACAGGTTGTAGAACTCCTTCTCCTGGGGAACAGATCGTTTCGTTGAAAACGGTCTGAATTTAGAAAAAAATCGCTCCATCCGCAAAGAGGTCGGGACGGATTTTAGAATACTGAGTGGTTATTTTTAAGATTTCGCTCAAGAATGAAACGTACCCTCTTCTGCCTCCTCTCGTCGGCGAGCTGCTTCCTGGTCTTGGCCCAGCCCATGCGCAGCGCGTGCACTAGCGCGGCCACGCGGCGCGCGTCGCTGCGCGAGGGCAGGAAGGAGCGCTTGTGGTCGGGGAACGCGCGCAGCGGCGTCGCCAACACCTCGCGGCTGAACCACTCCACCCACGGCTGCCCGCACACAAATATAAACTACTTCCGCAACGCGCCATCCGAAACTTATAAACTAGCATTTTTGTAAGCGCTTTCGAAGTCGTCCTCGACCTCGTCGTGAAATAAGTCACCTGGTATTCGTCGTGAGCGGGATCGGGCACGTGCCCCTCGCGCAGGCGGCGTATGAGCTCCAGGTCATCTTTGCTGAGCTTCACGTCCTGTCCCGTGCTGGGATCCTTGACGGTCCTCCAAAAATCTGGGTCCTCGCATCTCCTGTAAAGTTCGACATGTAGAGTTCGATTCGTCCCTGACGATTGTATAAAATCTCGAATGACCGATTTTAGTAATAAATTGTGACTATCGGGCTGAACGTCAGCTTTGAACGTCCGCCCGCCCGGACTGAGCGGATTTGCCGTTGTTATACGGCCCCAGTATGTTTAACCCTACATACACAAACGAATATTTGCTTTATATTTTGCGCAATCGCGATTGTCGTGGTGTATCAAACCACCTCTGCAATCACCTCGTCTTATTCAGTACATAATTATTTAAGTACATCCATACCACCACCTGTGACAGGTCTCACCTCTGTATTGGCATTTAAAGTAAAATTCATGGCACATTTTTTGCTGGAATAAAATATATATATATATATTAAAATAATATTAATTTACTACCTTCTGAGATTATTTATTGCAATCTGACATAACATTTAAATTTTTAGCCATCTAAAATGTTGATTCAAAGAAGAATGTTCAATTCTGACCTGTCAATGTCGAGATAAGCAATCATCGTGTATAATAAAGTAATATATCGTATTAAATTGTTTTTTTTTTAATTGAATATTTTATTGTATTTTGAACTTGTCTTTTAAATATAAAAAAATTATTGTTAAAAATGTTGAGTGAAGAAGTAAGATCGTTGTACAGGCGACACATACTCGTAATGGAATTATAAAAGGAGGTGATTTCTATAAATGTGCAAATAAATCAGTACCATATTAACAAAGAAATTTGATGATGACAGATGGACTGACAGAAAATGGAGTCATCCTTTGAGGCACCAGTTTTATGTTTGATATGAGAAATTAGCTATACTTTATCGACGAAACCGAAAAGTTTCGATACTTCACTTCAGTGGTATCTTTCGTCTTATTCTTTAACATCGCGAATTAATCAGTGTGACATCACTGACACGCAAAGCATTTTTTACTTGAGATGTAAAAGCTTATAAAAATATTTATGTATTATTTATTTTTATAAGCTTCTACATTTCCTTATCTTTATTTGGTATTGTTTAATTGTTTCTGTTTCAGAGACAGATGATTATGCATATACATATGTATTTATTTGATTGTATTATTTTCAAAACTGAACAAACTATGGAAGTTTGTGTTGTTCTGAGCAGGGGCTCAGCCATCTGCATTCCTTATGGATGGTGTGTTTACCCACGATTTACTTTTTACTATTCTTTAACCAAGTTGCAATTAAAACTAAAGTAATTTAAAAAGCAGGAGTATAAGACGGCCGCCAGGCTAAATCATCTACAGGTATAAAAAAAAATCGTTTTTCATTGAACCCTATACACCATCAATATTATCTACATCAACCATCATGCAAGTTGCACACATACTTGAGGAATTCATCTATCTGATCTCGTTGTGGTGGCTTCATGATGCGGCGTCCGTCGAGATCGTAACCAACGTGTGGATACTCATCGTACCACCAGCGGGGCACCTCACCGGTTGTGTTTCGACGGTCCTCCTCGTCAGATGTGTCGCCCGACTCATACTCATCTGATATAGAAATATATCACAACTTTTAGATATTTAAATCATCAAAAATAAAATAACTTAGAATAGTGAACTTATTTACACAAGGCTGCTTATCAGATTGCCACAATATGGCAAATTTCTACCGTGGATTTTGACATCTATCTTGAACATATTAAGGTTTCAAATCAAATAAAGAAATCTGAAAGTTTTGTATAGTCATACATGCAGTCAATTGTACATAAGAGTGGAAACACTGTTTAGTGTCATGAAAGAAAACAATATGGTTTCATACATTTAGTTTATGGTGAGAAGCAAATTTGTAAATTTTTGTTAAAACAATGTGCACGTGAATGTGCTTCTACCTCATTACTTATACACCATATTTATTAAATATAAGGAAATTACTACATATAATGTCAACCAATTTAAAAACAGACCTGTACTTGAAATAGAGAAAAATAAAAGGATTTTTTTCATAAATTATGGAAACAGAACCGTTAATATTTGATACAGGAATATATCAGATTTTTCAAACTGAGTCATAATAATAATATATTCAAAATTCATTATTATACTAGAGCACTGCCTAGAGCTCATTTATTACTACTACATTCATTGCCCAATTATATATTTATTCATTCAGAGAATAGTAAATAGAATATATTGAGCAATGTTTCTCCAAAATAAAAAATATATATCGTAAAGGAAGTCATTCAAATTCTTTTGAAAGATGCACTTTATTTTCACATATGCACAATAAAGAAGTTGCAGAAACATTTGCTTACCTCTTTGTTCCACTGGCAGACAGGCAGTAGTGGAACTTACACTTGAATCTTTAATTTTTTCAGCAAGTATATCAACACTGTTCTTGAAATTTTGCTTTTTTACTTTTGATTGCTTCTTAGATGCATTAGTTGTTTTTTTCCTTAGTTTAGGTAATTGTTTGTCTACTTCATCACTTGACTGTGCCTGGCTGGGCCCAGACTCAGCTCCACTATCAACACTCTTTTCTGATTCACTTTCGTTCTCATTATCTTCACTGTCATCTTCATCATCAGCTTCAGAATCAGTTAATTCCTTAAAGAAATCGCCATTTGATTTAAGAGAAGAAGGAACTGTTTATTTGGATATTGATTTGTATCATGACATGGATATAATTACAATGACAAATTGAAAAGTAAACAATGGTTACTATGGTATCATTTTAATTCCCTATACAAAATTCCATTCCTAATTTCATCCATTTATTTGCTGTTTTTTGGGATAAAATATTGTCTATGTTTCATCAATCAATCACTGCATATATTGTAGCTGAGCACAGGTGAGAGTTTATAAAATCGATCAAGTAGTATCAGAGCCTAATCATTGCAAACAAACAATCAAATCTTTCCGCTTTATAATATTAGTTTAAATAAATACAAACATAAACTAAAATTTCTTAATTTACCTTGAACATAAAATATTAAAATTCTGAACTATTTATTAAGGTTTAAAATGATCAATAAATCAGTTTGAATTAAAAAATCAAAATGTACTTACAGATGACTGATCTGAATCTTCGCCATCTTCATCTTCACCTAAGGTAGAATCTGCATCATCACCAAAGATAACTTTCTGTGAAGATTTATAATATGTAAAAATAACTGAAGAATAATAAATTATCAAGGTGTAAATAAAGAAAAATAAACTGAGCTCAACACATATTTTTGTTATTGTTATAAGCGTCATTAGAGAAGAGGTTGTAAATAATGGCCAGCCTGCTAAAGTGTACATGTTTTAAAGATACATATACATATACAAATAAAATTATGCTGAATGCAAAATAGAAGAATTATTATTGCTTGTAATATGAGAAAGAAATACTACAAAATAGAACTACAAAGAGATAATAATGAACCATGGCGAAATTTTGTTTAAAAAAATTAAGAAAATAAACAAATAAAAAAGATTTTGAAAAACCTAATTTATAATAACATTGTCGTATTATTTCATGTCTGATATCTATCGCAAAAAATTATGAGCACTACAACACAACTTTAAAATGTACTAATTTTAAATGCAGCCCATGAACATATTTGCACACTAAAGTTTGCCCCACAACATGTCTAAGGTTGCTAATACCTGGTCTATAATATGACTGAAAATAAGCTCTATTTCAGCTTTAGACCCGGCGAAAAACCGATGCGTCAATACACGAGCTTACTATGAACAATATAAGCAAGCCAAGCAATTAATAGTAGTGAATAATAACTCATAAATTTGAGTAGTATATACGAACATCTACGCTATTATTGGAGTCAGAGTCGTTGTCATCGTTTATCTCAGGCTCAGAGTCTGTAGCGTCATTGGCATCATCCAAGTCTCCCCGAAATAAATTATCACTATCTTCTAAGGCATGACTTTCCTGAAATCAGATATAGCAGCTTAACATTTGACACTTTTGATAGTACAATAAATTTGAAAGAATGTAATTAATATTAGTTTTATACTTCTTTTGTAGAGCCTTCGTTGGTTGAAAACTTTTCATCTCCGGACTCTATTTTTCTTTTCAAGAGCCCTATCCGGAATGGTGGCATTTCGACTTATATTATCATAATAATAATACAAATAACTAAATTGCACGTGGTGTTTTTAGACGATAAATTCACATTCAATCAAATTATACGAAATGAAAAACACACTATTTAAACTCTCACGTGTGCAAAGAAAAACACGTTAAACTGTCATTAGCGGACGGCTGGTCTTGACACATGACATTAGGGATGCGAACCGGAACTGATTAATCGAAAAACGATTTATAAAACGTTATTGACGTGGGTTGATGTATCTCGATAAAATTAGCTTTATAAGATTTAAAATTAAAATGAAAATTATATAGTAAGTATTATCATAATCCTAAATTTTATGTTGCTTCTTAACTCAAAAGAAGCAATATAATTAAAATAGTTTTAAAAAGCCGTATTGAAACATCGAGTGTCGATTATATGATAATTAATATAAATTATCACTTTATCACAGAGTAGGCTGTATTATGAGTTATGTAATATCCCATTGTTAAATAAGCAAATTGCAAAAAATAAAACATCATAGGAATGCGCGTATATACTATAGATGCAAGGTTCATAAAAAGTCGATAATCGTATCTGATAGATAACGTTACTATCGATATCGATATATCGCTCCAAAAAGCCGATATATTTTTTGGATCTTAAGTCAATGAGGAAGTATTTAAAAAATAAAAATTAGTTCTTGAAATCATACTAGATGTCACTCGCGATTTTTGGATTTTGTTTATGATATTCATTCAAATTTTATTTCTGACGTAATAAATGTAAATTGAGTATTTTTGATTAATAAATATGACATCGTTTTGTGTTTCTTATAATATCTCACTTTCAAACTAATTTGAATTTATTTTAATTGTAAGTTTAAGTTGTTTATTATGTTACGTGTAAAGGAACGATGTTTGGTTGTAACGTCAACATTAGTGATGAGCCAACTTATTGGTTGCTCGTAACTTTCGTTGAATTCAGGTTTGGAATGGAGAACAAAAATGATGATGAAGATGAAGTGTCATTATGCATCCACAAAACGAATGATATTTACATAAATATCAAAATCAATTCAGTCTAGGCTGTTACATAGTACTTGTAAAAGTCGAAAACTTTACCAATGGTTCGCAAAACTAAGGCGAGAGATCTCGTACTGACAAAAAACGGCAAGAAACTCAGCAAGGGCTGCTTTTTTTATTTCAACTAAACAACTCAACTTACTATATTTGAGGGAACGCAACCACCAACGTACACGATACCACCGCAGAGATTTTAAGATCCATAACTACTCTAGGTACTTAGTAAATAATATATTTCAATAAAACGGATTTCTAGCCGTACGAATTAACTTAACACACAGCTCGACGTCCGCCGTCGACATGAAAGATCAGTAGCAATAGTATAATAACTTTGTGATTTGAAATTTAAAGTTATAACCTTGCTGTTCGTTTAGAGCAGACTTTTCTTGTCTATTGCTGAATGTTTATTAAGATGATTTAATTATGAATATAAGATTTAATAACTGATAATAGTTTTATAATGTCCTAATTTCGAAAGCACAAGTTATTTGCACGTTACACTTTGCACAAACGTCATTTTAGCCAGCAGTTATGTTATTTTGTACGAATGCATAGTATATTTGATACATATCGGGTAAGTTTATAGATAATAAACGAATTTTTTTATAATAATTATCGTTTTTATGACTTTTGTTTTTGATTAATAAACCCTATTCATACATTCACCATACATAATATAAAAATATTATTGAAACTTGATGTAGTTTTGTTGTTGTAAGTTCAACAAACAACTAATAGCAATAAAACTAACTTACCTAGTTGATATTTTTTCAGAACTTTTGTTAAATATTAAAATAAAAAATTCCTAGACCTACAATGACATAAGTACATATTTTATTTATAAAACTATTTGGCGGTAATATAATTGTATACCGTAGTAAGATGCCACTTTTAATTATATCACAGCATTCAATTGATTTCCATAAATTTAAAAAACCACTGTGCTCACTTCCATTATGTTAGTTTCCATTTTCCTCTATACAAAAAAAAAATAAATTTATTCAAAGATTACTTTCTATTAATCGAGTTGCGTTTGCATAACTCGAACTAGTTAAATTTCAACTCGATATTAATCCGAGTTATCAGATCCATACAACACTAACAAATCTATTCTCTTTGGTTTAACGTCATGAATTGACGTTTAGATCCAACAATTTGTGCTGCCATCTAGTGACACAATTATCTGTAGTTTCTTTATTTTTTTTAAATACTTCCCCATTCAGTGTACATTCTCTACTTACAGATCAAATGGAATACTAATTTGAACCATTAGTAGTAAATTTAAAAGATAACACTATTTAGTAATTCAACCTGATATCTTACATAAAATTACAGTTTAGCCGGATTTAGCCTATACAACTATGATTGTAGCTACAGCGTAATACCATAATGATATAATAATCTCGACATGAAATGAAATGAAAATGAAATGAAAATGAAATGAAATGAAAATGAAATGATCGCATATTACACAGAGAGCAGAATGCTACAGTATCATGACGATCTTCTTAGCCTAGTGGCTTGTACGCAAGTTTCAAGGTGTCGCCATCTCTAAGGTCCCGGATTCGATTCCTCGTCGCGTCAATGTAGAAAATGAACTTTTCTATATTGTCTCGGGTCTAAGTGTCCCCCCTTAGATCCGAGACAACGACGAAGGACGAACAAAGGACGAAGGTACCCCCTTCGTTGTCTCAGATTCTCCATAATACGGGGGCTTTAGCTACTGTTCTTGGAATCTGAGCAATGTATGTGATGTTGTTCAATATTTATTTATTTAACATTTACTCATTTTACCACATTATGCCAAACTCCTAGGTATTTCGATGTATGATATTGTAACTGCAAGTTAGTGTCACCAAAAAAATATGTCTTCTTCTTTTAAATATTAAAAATCTTTTAAGCGATATCGCATAAACTCCAATCAGTTTTACTGTACATCAGTGATTCCCAAAGTGGACCCCCAGGAGTCCACGAGGTATTCAACGGGGGTCTACGTTTTCGTGAAATAGCAACAATTTCCATCGTTAGATCTTCACAGTTTGGAAGAATTTTGGGAATATGGTAAAAATGTAGCAGCAGGGGGTCCATCAAAACCAGTACCTCTGCTGCACATCGTCATTATAGGTAGCTAGTTTCTATACATAATTATTTTAAAATTAAAGTAAGTTTAACAATTACAATAAGGTACCTAATTACAAACACCACGGCGGTACACCGCATATTTTATTTTGAAATTTAATACAAATAATAAAAAGCAAAAACCAACCTGCGTGAAAAACCACTTACTAAAAAGGCTAGAACAAGCTAAACAATTTATTCAACATCATAAATAACATGCAGTCGAAAGCATAAAATTGAATAATAAATCTTATCATTCTCTCTTTGTGCATGCCTCGGACTGCATGATAAGTAGAATGTTGCATATATTTTTTTTTAACTTGTACCAGCCTTTTCAGTAAGTTGTTTCTCACGCAGGTGGGCCTTTTTTCAATTATAATTTTATTTATGTCTTTTTAGTTAGACATATTACTTGGTTGGTTAAAAAGGCGATTCTTCTTTCAAAGGGCGTCTCCAAAACTTGACGACCAAATGGCCTATTTTGCGTGTGGAGGGTGTGAGGCCGGATACTACTCCAATTAGTCCAGCTCTGCCAGAAAAGCTCCAAAACGCCTTCACATCTGCGATGTCCTCCTGGAGGTAGCCTGGTAAGCCGACATGCTTTGCCCGGTAGTTGGCCATTCCGTTGCATTCCAGCACGACTTTAGTGGCTGTTTCTTTCCCCTCCATGCAACCTCTACACAAGGGGCTGTCAGTGATACCTAGATTGAAAAGGTGCCTGTTAAAGTTGCCATGACCAGTAATAGCACCCGTTACCAGGCGCAATTATGATTTAATTAGCTGTAGAAGGGCTTTGTAGAAGCGAGCGTTCACTCGGGGTAGTGCAAGTTTGGCCTGCCTACAGGTTTCCAAAGTGTGCCAGTACTGTTGATATAGTTATCTCTCTCTGCAAATTTGTTCGCAAATATCCTGAATTTTATACTACACGTAGAATATATTCGAATTATGATCTTAGACACAAAAACAGATTAAACTTATCATGTTCCCGCCTAAAAATGCACTCGTCTGGTCCATTGGTCATATCCATTAAAATATATAACAAACTACCAGATTCAATAAAGAATGAACTGTCCCATAACTCTTTTATTAATAAATTAAAACGATTTCTAATTTGCAAAAGCTATTACAAAATGAATATCTAGACGACAATATTAAAAAAATTGAGTACATATTACGTTTGCAAATTAATAGAATAAAAATAATCAGACAATTCAATAATAGTTATTTAAGATACGAGTGCGAAAAGAAAGGTTTTACGAATAAGGGCCAAATTGAAAACACGAGCGTAGCGTAGATTTTCATTGGCACGAATTTGAAAAACCTTTTACGCTCAAGTTTCTTACAACATTTTTCAATGCTTTTTGCGAGGAAATAAAACAAATATATAGGTTCAGAAAACTAAGTATGTATTAAAGGTAAAAATTATTTGTTAAAATTAAACGTGATATTTGAACATGTTTTCGTGTCATACATTTTTATTTGAAAATATTCGTTCTAGGCTCCTTGAAATACTTTTGCCTCTAAAGTATTATATTTTCATCAATTTTTTTTAAATTTATTGATGCTCGGTCAAAAAAAAAAATTTAAAAAGAAATACTTTAAAGCACGTGTGCAGTAAAGGATTTCAGTACATTTTTATTTAAAAGGTGTTTATGAGCAACGGCATTGAAAAAAACTTTAATGGAGTTAAAATTTTAAGAGCAATAAATAAAATAGTTTTAAATTAATAATTTAAATAATGGAAGTAATAAAGCAATTATGGGAAAATAAAATATGTACTATAAATAAAATGTTTAATTAATTTTTTTTTTATCTAAAATCAATTTT